GGGTCCAGTTTTTAAGCTTTATTTCTTCTTTCCCCTAACAACCTGCTGCAAGTTAATAAAATTTAATGTATAATGAAACAAACAGGCATGCAAGAAGGTATTTTTAAGTAATGAAAATAATTGGATTTTAAATTGAATAACACAGAGATGCAAAAGAAGAAGAGTTAAAAGTGAAATTGACTTTAAAGCAAATCCAAATTGAGTTTTTTACAAAAGGCTGTTTTCTCTTCTGTCTTTCTGCAGCTCCAGCTCAGGTGAGCGCCTCTTCTTCTGCTCCAAAGACCTCAGCAACACCGCGGGAAAGTAGCAGCAGCAGTCAGACAGCAGTCAGCACAAAGTCAAAGTCCAATCTGGGTGCAAAAGCCTTCCCTCCACCCAGGAAGGTGCCTCGTCCCGCTCCCCGTTCGCCTTTCTACATGGTAAGCACTTTGTCCCTCTTGGACTTCACCTTTTAGATATTTAAAGCATCTGCAATCATTTTTTGAGGTGTTACCCAATACTTCTTCACCTAGTTAAAATAAATGCCCCCCCGTACTGAGACAATCTAATGTCCTGTTATTTTGGAACCATGCATCAGCGCTATGGAGACATGAACCGGGACGTTTCTAAACTGAAAAGATGCATGAAACATCAGTTAAAAAAACAACAACAAACAAACCAAACTTTATGTGTGCCAAATCTCAGAGCGATGGAGTTGTAAAGACAAGTTGGATCATAGCATTCAGTCAGCGGGGCTCAGCTCACTAAAATAAAACTACATGATCAAAGAGGTTTCACTGTTACGCACAGGTATGGATTTGACATGTTCCAGCTTGTGATACTGGCTCCGTAAGACTTTCAGAAAAGCTTCCACAAAGAAAATTAAAGGTTCATTATTTTGCTTTTACATCAGGATAAGTTTGTTATACTCATAGCTGTCATACCCAAGCTGTTCCAACAGATTGTTGCATTGCAGTAGGCGACTTGTAAAAGTGTTTTTGAGGTCTTTATGTGGATCACAATGTTTAGATTAAGGCGGTATGGGAACATTAAAAACCATAATCTATGATCTTTAAATGTTATTGGTTAAATTGAAGCATGTCAATAAATTATATACATCTCTAAAGCCAGTTTACCAGTTTGGCAATTTTTTTTTTATAATTGAAATTCATTCATCACCATTGGCATACAGCAATAAATGATTTAGCCTACCTTGTTTAGTAGACATAGGATGAATATCAGCTGAACAGTGACCACTGTTAGGGATCGGGTTACTCAGGATTTCGGCCCTGTTATAAATTTACTACAATAAACTGGTTTTATAGAATAAAATGTCAAGCTCAATAAAACTGGATTAAAAAAGCTGACAAAGTGCAGTAAAACACCAGAACAGAAAACAGATCAGCTCAGTTTATCAGGTTGAAATAAAGTGTCAGCGTTTTTCCTCCTGTGGTGCAGACGGTGGTCAAGTTTATCAATGGGCAATAAGTTTGTCATGCGAAGTAGATTTTTTTTTTTTCCAGTTTATTTCCACTGCCCCCAACTGGTAAAGGAAATCAATTACAATCATTTTTTCTCCATTGTACATTTAAACAAGACTGAGCCTGATATACGAGCACGTTTTTCTTAAACATGCTGTCAACGCTGCCCTGATTTCTGTAGCCTCCATTTACTTGTATCTCTTTACCTCAACAGTCATGGCTTGCAGACTCCGAGAAACAGCAGCACGACAGCCGGCTGGACTTCATCTTTCGAGTCAACGAACTCCACTGTGGAGCAAAGCCCATGTACGGTCAGGAGGTTCTGGACTTCCTGACTTTCCTGCCCGGCCGTCGTCCATCACCTGCTGCCCTGAACCCTCAGGGAGAGTGGGGCCGCTCTGGCCAGAGCAGCTGTCTGTATGCACAGCAGCAAAACGAGCACGACTACTGGTTTCACAGTCACGCTGTAAGAGAGGCCATCCACAGCATCGAAGGACGGCTGGAGCTGCTGAGTGACATCATAGACCGGTACTTAGCTTAACAGTCGTTTGGTTATTTGACATTACAAAGCTTCAGCTAAGGAGAAGGAGCTAACTTCGCTGTTTGTTTAGGTACACATTTGCAATTCCTCCAGTGGAGGCTCCACCCATCTCCATGCACTGCTGCCATCCTCCGCCATCTCTGAACCACAAGCAGGCAGTCTTCTCCTCCATGTTATCAGCTGAAGTCACGCCGCTCACTCGCAGCCTCCACCACGTCCAGTCCTATATGAGGACGCAGTTCCCTGACCTGAGGCTCATACAGTACGACTGTGGTGAGTTCTCAGTGTGTTTTTTGTTTTGTTTTGTTTTGCAGAAAACCATGGAGCACCTTGTGGCAACCCACACCTACATCAGATACTCCTAATCACAAAATCTAAGGTTTAAATACAAACGGTGCAGGGGTGACACAAAGCAGGAAAATCCAGGACTGTCTAAGTATCCATTCTCACCTATTAGCCTTTGACAGGATGTTTGATAAGACTGTCATTTACTAAGGTGGGGGTCACCCACAGCTTAGATCCCATTCATCCCTCATCGCTGACTCGATCCCAGATGCACACTGGCAACAACTTTAGCAAAACTCTCAACTGTACTGCAAAATAGGCACTAAATTTTCTTGAAATAGTATTTGGTTAGTCTTTTCTTTCCACCACTGTGTTTTATGCATAAAAGGCTGCTTCAAAGACTTTACTCCATGTGCAATTATTAAATAATTTTATGCTCCTGCAGCTTGTTTTGCTTGCTGGTGGCTCATTTTGTGTCTTCTGTCTCCTGTTTTCAGGTAAGCTTCAGACTCTCCACACGTTGCTGCGAAAGCTGAAGGCGGGAGGCCACAGGGTGCTGATTTTCACTCAGATGACTCGAATGCTGGATGTGCTGGAGCAGTTCCTCAACTACCACGGACACATCTACCTCCGTCTGGACGGCAGCACCCGGGTGGAGCAGAGACAGGTCAGCAGTGATGGTGTTTTGCTTGCAGGCAAGAACTAGAAAGCTGTAGTCTGTCTGTGATGCTCATTTCCTCTGTTTGTCTTCTGCACGCCACCACCAGGCGCTCATGGAGCGCTTCAATGCAGATCGACGCATCTTCTGCTTCATTTTGTCAACCCGCAGCGGCGGCGTCGGGGTCAATCTGACCGGGGCCGACACTGTGGTGTTCTACGACAGTGACTGGAACCCCACCATGGATGCTCAGGCTCAGGACCGATGCCACCGAATCGGTCAGACCCGCGACGTCCACATCTATAGGTGACTTTCTTTTTCCCTGCTTTTACTAAAAAAAAAAAAATCCTCACATAAAAACTTTCCCAAATCAAAGCCCACTCCCTAAGATGCTTTGTTGTCATTATGTAGTCACATAATGAAATTCCGTGTGGTAGTTCTCAGCTTAAAGTCAAAGACAATACTATAAAACACAGACAGACATACAATAAATAAGCATACACAACAAAGACTGGACTCACAGACAAAAGACACAAAGAGAAACAAAAAGCTGAGAGCACGGAGCCGCTGCATTGAACATAAAAAAAGAAATGTTGTCAACATCTGTTTGACACATACGAGCGTTCATCTTGTTTGACTTAAACTGATGAGCATCTCCTACGTTCTTTGCATAATTTCAGAAGCAAAAGCAACAAAGTTTAAAACAGAAATTGGAGCTCAGTAGTCTCTGAATTTAAAAAATCTGCAGAATCTGGTTAAACGCTTCACACCACCTGGTCAGCACCAACCCATCTGGGTGTACACCCGATAATCATTGGCCCAGTAAAAAATAGAAATGTGATTTTAAAAGACTAAATAGTTTTATGTTCCTCCTCAGGTTGATCAGTGAGCGCACGGTGGAGGAGAACATTTTGAAGAAGGCAAACCAGAAGAGGATGCTGGGAGATATGGCTATCGAAGGAGGAAACTTCACCACGGCCTTCTTTAAACAGGTATCACGTTTACACGGGGCCTTCTTTGTAAAATAAATGCCCTTCAGTCAAGCCTTTTTTTCCTTCTTTCTTCTTTTGTGTCTGGATAAGCTCAGTGATTCATCTGTGCATGATTAATAGTCGAAAGGCGCTCAAACATGTGGGTGGGTGCTTGGTGCATAATTGAATACAGTCACCGGTATCATGTGAAGGGATGTTTTTTCAGTGCTGGATGACAGGCCGAGACCTCATCCCCCTTTTAATTAAATTTGTTCAAACTGTCTTTTATATAAATACCACTTGTGCTTTTTTTTTCTTCTTTTTTTTTTTGAAGTATAATGTAGTTTCTTCTAATTGGTCTTTTTGAGTTTACTGTGTTGATGACATTAAGCAGTTCAAGTGCCTCTTGTTTTCTGTCTCATCAAGCACACATAACCCGTTCTGTCTTTGCTAAATGTGTCCGACTGTCACTTTGTTCCTCAGCAAACCATCAGAGAGCTGTTTGATGTGAATGAGGGGGAGAAGAGGGAGGCGGCGGTGGAGCTGTCGGTGCCCCAGGCTGAGGAGGAGGAAGCCGTCAACAAGCAGAGCACCACCATCCTGGAGCAGGTTAGAAACTTGGTGTACTGGATATTTACCACCCACCGGCGGAAGTGGGGTCAGAAGTTACCGTGGTTACACACCTTTTGGTGATTACCAGGAACAAAATGTACGTTTACTGCAAGTCTTAGATGCAATATAAACTGAATCAGGTTTTTGCTCTCAGCCTATTGAAATGAAAAGCATAAAAAAAAAGATCTCATGTTAAACGTGATCTTCTTATGAACTTCTGGACTGTTTCAAGGACTTTTCAAGAATTTAGCGATTCCTTTATTGACATTACTCATCGATTCAATTCTTACTCGAGCGATACTGCGTTCTCATTGGCTCTGTTTTGACAGCTAAGCAGAAACAAAGAAATTCCATTCATGCAAATCAATTGTATACTGTGGGTCAAATGTTTGTTGAGGTATTTCCCGTCTTTGTTGTGATCAGTGTTGAAACTTTGCTCAAAAAAGTAATTATTACACAGAACACTTTTCTCAAAAGTAATGCATTACATGACTTAATTACTCCCGGGAAAAAGTAATTTGTTATACTACTTGTTACATTACTTTCACTCTGCGTTCTTGGCTAGCTTAGCGTTAGCATGCTGTCTGGGCAGATTGTTTTAAAGAACCGTTGTTGGGTTTTTTTTGTGTTAGCACCATAATGCGGTTGTTTCTGTCCTGGATATGCAGGTTTCCACTTTACCGTTCATCTCGTCCTTTTGTACAATAAATGTTCAAATCCATGCTCTAGACCGCTTCGCTATTTTCCTCCTCTGACACACAAACTGAAATCAGCTGATTGTGCAAGAACTGTAATTGAACTGGTTTTCTTCAATAACTGGTTCTCGATTCCCATCCCTAATGCCTCCCAGTTTTGTCGCTTGATCTAACACGAGAACTCCTGTCGTGTTCCTCCTCTACTTGTGCCCTGGCTGTACTTGAACTCTTGATCTCCTCCAGCGTGTCAAAGCCTTGATAATGCACATTTTCAAAAATGTTCTTGCACTGTGCCGTGTGCTGGGACGCAACACAGTTTAGATCATTTCTACTGACATCCAGGACTTAAAAATGAAGCCATCTGAGGCTGGCTTTGAAAGCAAGCCATCCCCATATTCATGTAAACATCTAAATGAGGATGGCGATGGTGTTAAAATGCCCAAATTTACAGCAGGACTAAACCCGTTTATAGACCAGTACAAAAGCATTTCTGGACTCTATAGATCGTTTCATCCTTTTCCAACTCTGCAGGAGACGGAATTTATAATAACTCCTCCATCTGGTCAGGGTGTTGTAGCTGCTATTTCTCCCCTCCTCCAATTCCATTCACTAACCTGGACCACTGTTTGAAAAGAATACAATAGAATAACTTCGGAGATTCGACCAATTTGACTAGGCTAAGTTATTTGATTTTTAAAACCTGAACTTAATTTCACACCTTGTACGCAGACACAATCCAAAAGAGTCAGGAAAAAGTTTTACTCCTGCCACATTTATCATGCTCGTGGACATTTACCTGATTATCTCCATCTGTTTGCTTCAGGCGCTGTGTCGTGCCGAGGATGAGGAGGACATAGTGGCGGCCTCTCAGGCCAAAGCAGAGCAGGTGGCCGAACTGGCGGAGTTCAACGAAAACATACCGCTGGATGACGGCGGGGAGCAGGAGGAAGTGGAGGAGCTCTCTAAAGCCGAGCAGGAAATAGCCGCACTGGTGGAGCAGGTGAGTAAAAACACATCGGCTATAAAAATGTATAATATAATAAAATATTAATGCTCTGCTGAATCTTTGAATTACAGTTTGTTTTAACGCACCTTTTCCTCTGCTTGTCTTTAGCTCACTCCCATTGAACGCTACGCCATGAACTTCCTGGAAGCTTCGTTAGAAGATGTGTGCAAAGAGGAGTTGAAGCAGGCTGAGGTAAAATCACAACTTTCAACTTCAGCTTAATAATTAGTGATTAATACTTGAAAGTAATTTAGACAACAAAGGGAAAAGCAGGAACTAGAACTAGAAAATATTTGATTTCGGTTTAAGTCAAACATTTTTAACTTGATAAAACTTTAAAGAAAATCTTCTCCTCTTGTGTGTTTAGGAACAGGTGGAGGCTGCCAGGAAGGGTCTGGACCAGGCAAAGGAGGAGGGTCTGAAGCTCCACACATCATCTGATGATGACGAGGACGACTTTTTGTCAACACCAACTTCTGCCGAACCCGCCCATCCAGCTCCAGCCCGCCGTGGTCGTAAACCCAAGGACAAGACTGCCACCTCTACAAGGACTAGCGGCCGACTCCGTGGGGCCTCGCCTGAAACTGAGCCTGAGCCCACGACTCCCAGAGAAGTGCCTGAAAGATCCCGCTCAGGTCTGAGAGGACGAGGAGCTGCCAAAGACACAGGTTCTGTGTCTACGATCCCATCCCGCACAGACCACCACAAAACGTCATCATCCACCCGGGTTCAAGATTCCTCCAAATCTTCGAAAGCGTCATCTCC